ATACCTAAACAAATAAACATAAATCTAAGCAAAAAATGAATGCGGTATGATAGACTGACTTGATATAAAGCGTAGGTATGGTCCCTACCAAGAAGAAACATTATTAACCATTTGCTAGTTAAAGATCACTATGGAGAGGAAATAGAATTACACCATCATGACTGAGTGCCAAGCCAGCTGGACTCCACCTGAAAGCTCTAACTCAAATATTAATATAAGACATATAAAAATATTAAAAAATAGCTAACCTCTAATCAGACAGATGTACAACCTACAAGAGAACCATTTTTTCATGTACCATCTATAATAGAACTTGTTTTCAGAGATCCTTAAAGATATGAGATACTTAAAGACACTTAAAAGATACTAGATGACTTGAAGATATGTAATCAGAGCATCATAACTTTGTTCACATCAAATTATGAAATAAATATGCGTGTGTATATATACATACACACACACATAACACACAAACAACTATCACCCCAAGATAACTAACCTTCAACAAAAACTTAAATGAGAAAGATGCACTGACTCAGGGATTTCCAGCCAAAAAATATCTGATATATAAATATCTCTAAATATATGACCTCAAATATTTTCTAAAATAACACATGGTTACAAATAAGTAAAAATGCTTGCCAAATGGTAAGTTTCAAAACAACATTCTATGCACTGAGTCATACTTATGACTTGGCCAACACAAGAGTTGCTTATGCAACTCTTCATCGGGGGAACACTGAGCATCTACAATTCCAAAGTCAACAGGTATGATGTAGCAGCAATATGAGCTTGAACACCTCATACATTAAATTAAGAAAGATCTTTATGATCAAGGTAGTGCCTTTCTTTATAATATTTTTGTAAGAAATAATATAAATTTTATATTACATAAAATAAATATAATAGTTATGAACATAACATTCAGGAATGACTGCACCCCTGGCCATGGTGCAGATCTGCGGGGATGACCTTGCTAGACAGAAGTTGCTAGAGTCTGGCCCTTCGCAGAAGCATCACCCACACAAACATGAGAGCAAGGGTGATGTGTCAGGACAAGCATCCCCTCAGGCACAGGAAGTGCCGATGTAAGGGTTTTGGGCTTAATTGTTTGCTGCCCTTTAGGAGTGATGGAATAAAGATCGCACTGAAGCACCGAAATAATTTTTTGCTCCAGAAAGGTTAGAAAGGCATGGAGCATGTAGTCAGTGATAAGGCTATCAAGGCTATCTTGCATGGTGAAGTCTGTCATGGCGAAGGCATCTGTTGTTTACAAGGAACCACATATCAAATCTGCTATCACACGTTAGAATTCCCACCAGGCCTTTTATCCTCCCCCCCCCCCCCCGCCCCCGCCCCCGCCCCGATCTACATTCAAGTCATCTCTTGATTCTCGTTCCCCTTTCTTTAAGCCATCATTACAGTCAAAAAGCCTATGAAAATAAAATCTAAGTTTGTGTGTATTTGTGTAGGAAGCTGGAATATAAAAAAATTAGGGAATCAGAAGATGTTCCATTAAAATGATTGGGTAATTACTGCTTAGTTTCCTTCTAGGACAAGGATGAATTCCCTAATGATGGGTATTATAAGTAATTAGACAAAGCTGTTCACTTTTCAAAATGAATCATCAATCCTATTAATTATGTCTGTATTACACATTCTATTAAATTAGCGCACATAATATGAGGCTTTCACACAGCAGAAGAGAAGCGTTATCATTGCACTTTAGTGACTTGATAATTTATCTGAAAGGAACACAAACATTCGTAATTACACTACTTTTAGTAGGATCACCCTTTTCAATTCTCTTGTGGTAAGAAAAAAGGCTACTTCACAAGGTGAAAGCAAGCACACTTTTCTTCAGGGGTTTTAGCACTAAAGAAGAAGCCAGATTAAAGGCAGATTTGAGGTTTTTAGAGATCCATATTTGACTGATTAGGGAGAACATTCCCCCAGGGAGGAGACCTGCAGCCATGGTGAGGTCAGCACTGTAGGCCTGGAGGAGGCACATGTGACCCCGGGAACAGATTATCTGGGTTAATAAGGAGCTGGGTTCAAACTGAGAAAGCCTAAAACAGGAGGCAATGAAAGCACTGGTCCTCGATGCCTGCTGGGAAGCAACTGGGGGCTTTATGACATGCAGAATGACGGCCTTCCTACCTTCTTCCTTTGCTAGGTGATCTGGATGGGGATGCAGGCTTTGCCACTGGGGCATCGCCAGTAACTGCCTGCAGGTGTACTAGTGCTGCCCGGGCTTGGTGCCCTTACAGAGGGACCACACTGACGGGAAGCTGACAAGAGAATAAGCCTGGAGAGGCCAAGGGAGCAAACTGGAGGGTCATAAAATCCCCATATCACAGTCATGAACTGAACTTGACTTCATATGCTTGGACATAACCTGGTCCTTGCTACTTGCAGAAAAGTAGGATGCATATAGAGGCTCCTAATGACTATTTCAGTAAGAAAACATGTATGAAGCACTAAGATGAATGCAAGGACACAGCACACAGCATCACGCATCAAATGTTAAGACTCCCCAATATGTTCCCCAGAAGATACGTCATAGGGTTTATACAGTACAGTTATACCTGTGTCAAGGGGAGGGGGTAGTAGTTGTGGAGGGAGATGTAACAGAAATCAAATTTCCACTCTATCATTATGAGCTCATATGAACCACAATTTAGTGAAAGTACTTACAATCTAACTCGAAATCAAAATCACAAATTGGGGGCAAACTGGTATTTTCTTCCCCACACTAAAGATGAATGCATGGTCTAAATCAGGGGTTCCCAGCCCCTGGGCTGCAACCACTACCAGTCTGAGGCCTGTTAGGAACCAGGCCGCACAGCAGGAGGTGAGAGGCCGGGGAGTGAGTGAAACTTCATCTGCCGCTCCTGTCGCTCACGCTACCAGCCTGAAACAACACTACCACCCTCCATGGAAAAACTGTCTTCCACGAAACCGTTCCTGGTGGCCAAAAGGTTGGGGACTGCTGGTCTAAATAATGCAGGAATTGGAATAGGAAAATATGCAGGCAAAAGAAAAAAAAAAAAAGACAACACAGAATACTATGATATGCAGGTTTCTTTCCATAAGTTTGGTTTTGTTAAATTGGTTTTGTGAGAAAGAGAAGTGATTTACTGTTATCACATGGAAACAAATTTACTAGCTGAGTAATTTACTAATCACGTATTTACCAATTAAGTAGCAAAACACAACCGGAACTTTTTTTATCTAAAAAAAATTAAATTTGAGGGTTTTCAACACACAAGAAATTCACTGCTGGGTTTTTCCTCTGAAGGTAATAGAATTCTCAAGCCTCCTGGGCCCTAGTTTCCAACTGTGATCCAAGTGCCCTTGGTTGATTTATAAACTGCTTCCTTTAGGACTGAAGTTTTGGTATTTAAATACAGTGGTCCTGGCTGGACATTTCCCCCTCCATCCACCAACACCCTGTCTGAAATAGTGGCCTGGTTACACCTTTCATTCAGGTCTCACCAAGGGCTATGCCACTTGCCAGATGACTGTTGGTCAGCTCTCTGAGAAGACACGTAGCAGTAAGTTGGGTGGATGCCTTGATACATTTTTGGCTCCATTTAGGAGCTACAAAGATTACGGGTATTACAGCAGACCCAACGCTCCAGTCACTAAGAGGTGCAGCAACCGTATGTCCCGATTTACTAGGGACACTCCTGGCCTACAGCTATGGTCCCAACATAATTATTAACAGTCCCCACTTCACTCACAAGAGCATGGTTTAAAGAATAAATTGGATAGACAGCCACCCTGTTAAAAGAAGAGAATCCATCTTTCACACATAGTTTTTAATATTCCCTGACCATTACATTGAGAAACTCAAGCTCTGTAAAATTCCTGAGACCAGAAATTATGCTTTAAAAATCTTTCCATCTCTTGTATACCAATGTGTAGAATAAGTCTTCAGAGGAAGTGGCCCCATAGAGTGGCCAGAGGAGCTGTCCTGATAAGCTTGAATGGTGGCCAATGTGCACCTGAGCGCCATTTATCGACTCATCTACGGGGATTGTTACAAAGCCCTGTGGCCAGAGGATTTCTCCTCCTCCTCAGGCATCACCCCAAATATATGCACGGACTTGCATCTACGAAGCACGCAAAAATCTTCAACAATAAATTGCATGATGCCTGTCGTTAATACAGCTTGCCTAATTTTTCACCTGCTAACTCTGATTACAGGTTCACAACTGGACTGAGATATGTCATTGTCTTTCACTTGACTTTATGAGCTTTACTTGAGACAAAAGCAATCAAAGAGAGTGAGAGCCTTGGGAGCAGGAACTGTGCCTGTATTAGAGCTGCCAGCTGTCTGAGCCTCGCCTTCTGGACTCCAGAACGGCATCTGGCTTGTGTCCACAGGACCAGTTTTGGTATAGACGTCAGGGGCTGATATACATGTGTCCTCTGCTCACAAGATGTATCCCCGTGGGTCACATGAAGGAGAGGGCTCTGTCAGTTACTCAGGCCTCACTCTGTGTCCCTAAGCCCTCCACACGGACAACCACATGGTTTAAATAGAATCAATTAAGTGTTAGCAGACAGAGGAGTAATTGGGGGATTAAAATTAGTATCTGGTATTTAGCTGATCTCAAGGCAGTGGCAAGCTTAGGCACTAAGTGTACTCTGATATGGGACATGGTGTTTCTCTGTGGACAAAAGGACCACGGTCAGTAACAGAGTGAAGGAAGAGTTCCAATATTGAAAATTCTGAAATGGCAAAGGAGCCCAAGAGAGACAGCGCTATAGCATCACGACATCCTCAGAGAGCATTTCTTATTCTTAATATGCTTTATCTCGGGAACACATCCTCCATGTCTTTCCTCCACCTGATGTGACTACATTGATTCTATGTGGCACGTCAATCAGAAAAACAGATTTCAAAATTATTAACTGATCTAGGCAAATGGCTGTCAATGTAGATTTAGTGGTCACTGGGAGAAAGGAAGGATTTTTTTTCTTGGTCTTACCTATGCAGTAGGGACAACACTGGCCTTTTCTCAACACAGGTCTTTCACAGGATACTGAAGGGCAAGACTCAGAGTAACAGCTAATTACGCTATCCATGCACACGCAGCTGGTACACACATCCGGCTTCCAGGACTCCGCTGCCAGGAATATATCCCCTTCATCATTTTTGCAGTAACTCGGCACGCTGTCATTATGGGATGAGGAAGGCTGGAGAGGTTCATCTGGAAAAATGAACAGAAGGTCAGCAGAAAAAAAGATGCTGCAGGCCACCCACTGTGCAACACAGTGAGTTTCACTCTGTCCCATACAAAGCACGCTCGGTCACCAGGGCTTTGTGTGCCTCCTTAAAATGGACTCAGGGGCTTCCCTGGTGGCGCAGTGGTTGAGAGTCTGCCTGCTGATGCAGGGGACACGGGTTTGTGCCCCGGTCCGGGAAGATCCCACATGCCGTGGAGTGGCCGGGCCCGTGAGCCATGGCCGCTGAGCCTGCGCTCCGCAACGGGAGAGGCCACAACAGTGAGAGGCCCGCGTACCGCAAAAAAAAAAAAAAAAAAAAAAAAAGGACTCACTAATGACACAGCACATCTGGCTCGGACAGGGCCTGGAGTTTTGAAACAAAAACAACAAAGATCACAAAGGATCTGTTGCAGAGATTCTGTTAGTTGCTTGCAAGATATCCACTCTACCTTTCTTTCTTAATGAACTCCTGATTTTAAGGTCGGGGGTGGGGTGGCTGAGGACCTGGATCACAAGGGGGATATGTCATGTGGGACCACTGCTCCCTCCTTTTCTAGTCTCTGGCAGAGCTGGGGGTGGCCATGTCAGCTGGCTGTGGCTAACAGATTCACTGGCTAATCAGGGATTTCTGGGAAAGCTTTTACTTTCTTAAAAGAAGGGCAGATGTGAAGCTACCCACATGCTTCCACATTCTTCCTGCCTTGAATATGAGTGTGTCGCCTGTAGCTATAATACCCTTATCATACCTGTAAGAGAGAGGCCTTGATATCACTAAGACACTAAATCAATGGGGTCAACATCTGTCTCCAAGCTTCTCATAATGTATGGTAAAGAAACCTCTGTTTAAAAACTGTAGCTGGGGGGGCTTCCCTGGTGGCGCAGTGGTTGAGAGTCCGCCTGCCGATGCAGGGGACACGGGTTCATGCCCCGCTCCGGGAAGACCCCACATGCCGCAGAGTGGCTGGGCCCGTGAGCCATGGCCACTGAGCCTGCGCGTCCGGAGCCTGTGCTCCGCAATGGGAGAGGCCGCGACAGTGAGAGGCCCACGTACCGCAAAAAAAAAAAAAAAAAAAAAAAAAATCTGTAGCTGGGTTTTCTCTTACTTGCAGCCGCATGCAGTCCTAACCAATTAACACCCAAACAGATTTTCAAACTGTATGTAACACTTCAATGTTCAGGCATTCACATTAATGGCTGAAAGATGATGGGAAATGTAAATCACTCCTGAGGATGCACCTACAGAGAAACCATTTGCAAGACTTGTGTGTTTTTGCTACATAAATACAGACCAGAGGGTCTCCAGATCTAGTAACAACTTGAAACACAAAAGAACGTCACCAGAAAACCCAGATATCTCTTTGGGTCTTGCCATTCCCTGAACTGACTTGAGAGCGGTAAGCTCAAGCAGAAAGCTGACTGCAATATAACAAAGGAAAGCGTAATACTAGTTAGTGAAGTTTCCTAGTTTAGAAATGTCACAATTGCACTGACAAGAGAGCACTCCCAACCACCTTTGCACTTGAGAGTCTGGAAAACGCCATGATGGTCCCACCCAGCAAACCTCTAAGAGAATCCCGTTTTCTCAAAGGATACAGGGTCAGAAGAATTATCATCCGTTCTCATAGTCAACGTCATGAAGTCTGCTCTTTCATACACATGTAGCTATCACAGTGATGCAGAAGCTCTAAGTGTCCCATTTTCCTCCCATCCACCTCCTGAATACACCCTACAGCCAGCAAGTCTGATTTGACAAGAAGAGTCTCTTTGAGAAGCGGGGCAATTGCTTTACTTTGGGCTCTGAACCCGAAGTGTGTAACTGTATCTCCTACTGCCAGTCCTGAAGGCAGCAACAGTGAAAGAACAGCCATTGGTTCCATTGTTCCAAATGTGCTTCAGGTCCAATTTTAGGTAAGTTTCCATAGATCACATGCATATGTTGGTAAAATGGGATTACTTTCTCAGGCATCTTTTCTGGATCATCCATGTCTAGGGATAATTTCTTTTTAAGAGATTGACTGATGTTAACTTTTGATTTGGCTAGAAATCAGGGCAACTCACACTAGTCTACACGAGGCTCTGCAAATTGCCACGAGGCTTCTGTGTGTTATGACAGCTTAGCTCTTGCAAGCAACACCCAACCTGGTGTCTGAAAACTTAGAGGAGGAAGCAGGGACGGCAGCGATGGAAGCATGAAATAGCTGAAATGAACATCCTAGAGTCTGGAGGGGACGCCAGGAGACATGGGAATGTGCCGGCAGAGCTGGAGTGAGAGCTGCAGCTGAGATGCAGCGTCTGCAGGTCTTCAGCCCCCAGGGCAAGAGACTTCGGAGCCCTGACTGAAGATATCATTTGGGAATCTTGCCCAGGCTATCTTCCTTCTTTGGGCCTTTCTTTCCATTTTTAGGAAAAAGTGAGACCCCTTCTTTACACTCTGATTCTAAACATTAACTCACTTGTTTTGTTTTTACCAGTTCTTTCACTGGTGTTCATTCATTCTTTTTATTTCTATACCAGAGAAATAAAAGAAGAAAAGAGGGATCTCTCTTCTGTGCTACGCTTCTTTCCAACTTTAAAAAAATCAAAAATGAAAGAGAATTTTAAAAGTGTGAAAAAAGAAAGAAGTGCTTTTCTATTCTCTGCCTTTCTCACCTTGGTGAAGTATCATCACCTACAGGGATGCTCAGTCTTTCTTCATGAGCCCACTTCTGTTTCTAGACCTTGCTCTAAACCAGGCCAGAGGAGAGGGGGAGTTAAGAACAGAGGGAATGACAAGGCATCCCAGGAGATACAATCACCATGAGGGATGCAACTCTTCTAGTTGTACATATATATCATTTTGGGACAACTTTAGGATGCAAGTATCCTAAGGTTAGAGATGGTATTTTTGTAGATGTGAAATACTCCATTTATCAATGCTGCTGTCGAAATTTACTGCAATGTGAAGAAATCAATGCTTTGAACTTTAAGACTTTTTATCGCAACACAACTATGAATGGAAAGTTCAGAAAGATCAATGATGGGGTAGGTGACTGATTTTAAAATACAAGAGCATTCTAGATACAAACTTATTCACAGGTTTAAGTGTAACCTTCAGAATACTGATCTAGGAAACAGAAAGTCCTGACATTTAAGATGAAGGCTATCACTGAAGTATCTCTCAAGTTATATGTAAAGTAAGGAAGAGTCCCTAGGCATACGTTTATAAAGGAGAAGCCAAAGCCAGGCACACATGGGGTGCTTGTTCCTGTTTCTAGAGGGGAGGTCTCTGCTCTGCTAGAATCAGCAGGGCCTCTGCTCATGCGCACTGGCCTTGAGACCTGGCTCTAAGAAATCAGTCCTTGGCACACACAGGAGTCCCATTTCCAGGGAGCTCTTGTTCTTTGCCTGGGCTGAACCTCTGAGTCCAGTCAGGTGTCCCACCAATAAATTTGGGCCAACCCCCGTATTTGTCCTCAGATCCTCGGACAAGTGGGAACAGAGGTACTTCCCACTTTAGTTAAAGCTTCCTGGGTTACATGCGCTCTTAAGGCTTTCCTTTCCAGGCACTCCTCTCACTCTGTCATGATTTACTTAAAGGTGGAGTACTGGATTGTTCAGCTCTTCTTTTGCATTACTGCTCCACAGGATAGGAGTTGTGGCGGTTCTCATCAACCCCGGGATCCCCATGGCTCAATTCAGGCATTCCATGAGCACTTGTAAAATGAATACATTAAACGGATATAAATTCATGACCGCCACTGAAGAGACCACTCAGAGTAGCTTCCACCAGGAGGATGGGAATAATCATGGTCATATATTAACAGAGAAACATTAGGGTTTGTGTCCAAGTAAAAGAGTGATGATAAAAATATAGGAGGGACTAGGGTATATCCTAACAACATAATACATCTGAACTATTTCTTATACTAGAAAAGACGTTGCACTAATTAAGCTTTTCAGATTAACATGGTTGAAAATTACGCCAAAGATTCTGTACTAAGATGATAACACCTCAGCAGCAGGGCATGATGACAACAGCAAATAATGTTGCTATCCCTACAATTTCCTCTGATGCAATTAAAAAATATCATCAATGTGAACCCAGGAAGAATTCTGGACATCAACTACGCTGGTTACATAATGACAGAACAATAGATTCTAGCTGGCTGACTAGATAATCCAATGTAAGAAAAGTAATACAAGGGCTTATGTTTTACTGAGCAGAAATACTCTAAGAATATGCATTTAGAAGGTAAATGATTACTGATTTAAGTTGAAAAGATAAAAGACTGAGCAACAACAAAACTAGTGTGCTGTCAACTTGGTAATTATACAAATTAAGTCATATATTCTAGTGTTAATTAGAATTGCTACTTGCGTTGCATAATCAGCAACTTATGTTTAAAAGTCTGACAAAATTTCATTATGTTTGTTTCATGACCATAAATTCACCTGCTAAGGCCAGATTATCTGAGAACTAAAAAAAAAAAGAAAACAATAGTACTCTTTGTACATATGCAGTGCTGGTCACTTAGTACTTCTGGATCTTAACTTAATCATCACAGATTTGAGAAGGTGGGCATTATGCATCTTTTAGCGATTCCTCTGTTTAACATTCTCAAAGTATCTTCACCACCCTTACATATTTCAAAGATTTTATTTACATTACTTATCAATAATTGCTCTTCACATTTTGTAAAGAAAAAGATGACTTTTCACATTAGCAAAATCATCTGGAATAATCTGGTACAGCAGGACTGTCTCTTGAGTCTGAGATGTAGGGTTAAGAAAAAAAGGGTAGAAAGAAACTTTTTTTTTTTTTTTGCTGTTGTTGTTCAAAGTCACCTCAGGTGCAAGGCATATTGATTGCATAAATATGTGGTTGATAGAAAGGAATGAATTTAGAAAGCTGCCTGCCAGATGTTCCTGCCTGGGTTACTGGTGACTGGGTCTGGCCCACTCCCACGTGCGGCTCAACCCAGCCCACCGGTCCTGCAGAATGACAACGCCCAGGCTGCAGGCCCTCCCCATCAGCCCAGTGCATCCCGAGGCGCAGTGCCGGTTACCTGGACACTGTGGGCAACAGGAGTCCTGGGTGCGTGTGGGGTTCTGGCAGAGCAGCGGTGGGCACACCTCTGTCTCACACAGCACCCGCCCGCTGTGGCAGGTGCACTGAGTACAGGTGTCAATGTGCCATGTTTCTCCTTCCACAAAGTACTCTCCCCCAGGGGCATGGCAAATGGAGGGGGTGCTGAGCTCCGGCTTCTGCACCACAAAGTCATCTGGGGAACGACACAAAATCCAAACACAAGAAATTATTCATCTGCTGTCTTACCAGCTTGGGAAGAACCTGGTGCTGTGGGCTTTAAGGGACAAAGAAGATGAACTGGCTGTTTCCCTCAAGAACACAGGGAAGAAAACATTCCATGCACAGAAATATAAAGCAACAGCAGAAGAGCTAGTTTCAGGAAGTGAGGTTCAAGTGGTTCCGGTCTGTCAACAGTAACGAGAGGCTCCAACGAGATAATTAAACCACAGGGGGCTTCCCTGGTGGCACAGTGGTTGAGAGTCTGCCTGCCAATGCAGGGGACACGGGTTTGTGCCCCGGTCCGGGAGGATCCCACATGCCGCAGAGCGGCTGGGCCCGTGAGCCATGGCCGCTGAGCCTGCGCTTCTGGAGCCCGTGCTCCGCGACGGGAGAGGCCTGCGTACAAAAAAAAAAAAAAAAAAAAAAAAAAAATTACAGGGACTTCTACTGTTGAAGAGAACAGGAGCCTCTTAGGGGACATCTGTGAATGTAGGATTATCTAGAATAAAGATCTCTCATTTACTGAATGCTTCCTATAGTTCCGGTTTCCATGTTAGTGCTTTACATATGTTACTTCATTTACTCCTTATACCAATGTGAATAGGTACTGTTATCCTATTTAACATATAAGGAAACTGAGAACTCAGAGTATTAAGGGCAGACAAGGGATCTGAACCCAAGTCTATGTTTGTTTGGATCATGGATACACCTCCAGATTAAATACAATTGTAAACTGATTTGTGCCCCATTCACTTCATTATCTCTGGGACCCTGAGTCCTTTCAGGCTTAGAAATAAGTCCTACTGTTGAGCAGGACACACCCCAATCCCGACCAGCTGCCGGCACACTGAGCAGGAATGCTCTTTCAGAATCAACAGTCTGAACCCTCACCTGAGACTAAACATTTGTTTGGCGATATGATCAAGAGAGGTAAACGCCCAGGGGCCAATGATAACTATGAGTTCTTTCCCCAGACGAGAGGCGATTTGGGGCTCCTGGTGAGATGATAGTGATAGAGAGGGAATTTAATGCTGAAAATGTCTGGAGAGGCACTGGGAGTTGCCCTCAAGTTGTGCTGGCGAAATGAGAAGTATGAAGATATTAACCATATTCGTGTCATCCAAATACAACAGGCGTTTCAAGAAGGTGCTGACAGTGTGGAACCCTGCGGAGAAGCCATCTGGAGACACCATGGCGGGCTCACGCTTGGAGATCAGTGGAATTTGGGCCTCAGAAGAACTACCCTGTTTGTGCAGAGATACTCAGAGCTGACGTCTCCTAAGAACTCACGGGCTGTGACTTTCAAAGCAGTGGTCAGCCTGAGATGTAGCAATACTGATGAGATACAGTGGTGTGGGCCCAGCTCCGGCTAAGAAGGCATTGTATAACTTTTAGTAAAGACTGGAACTTTGACCAAGTGGACATATCACAGAAAACTGACATCAGCCAACGCTTACATTCATAACCAACTGGGCCAAACTTTCTAGTATATGAGGAAAGTAGAAAGGAAGATAATTAGAATGAAAATTGGGCTGCGATGAGATAAAAGTGCATTTCTCACCGTTTATAGAAAAAGAAAAAATAGTTCCAAAGACTATTAGTAAACTACTGTTGGAAAAAGTCTCCCTTTTGAAAGGACTTGGAGAGGATCGACAGTTGCTGCCCTTTTAAATGCTGCCATGTAAGGAAATGGTCAGAAGAAAAACAATGTGTGTTTGCAGTTGTCTTACTCTGTGAATTCCTTTGCTATATATCTATCCATGTGCCTCAAGGCAAAACATGAGTGACCAGATAGATGGAGGTGATAGAAAAACTGAAAGGTAGAGGGTAAGAAAAGGAAAAAAAATCTGAGAAACAGTATCATTTGGTGAAACTTCTGTCAGAAGAGTTCAGAGGCTGCTCACTTATCTCAGAAGGAAAAACAGCTGATCCTTGAATAGAAGGCAGGAGAAAATATTCTTTGAAGTAGGAGTCCACGATTGCAACAATGCTTGGTCTCTATTCAGAAAGATCCATATGTGGCAACTCACTAAAGACATTTGGAAAAAAACATACCTACACATCCATATATATCAATACCTGTATGTTTTTATATGTCTATATCTACATAGTCACACACCCACAATAATACATCAATAATTCTGTGTGTGTTTAAGAACTTTCCATATCTCTGTAATAGAGAAAACTAGATTTGGTTTCACTGACTTTCAGTGCTTAAGTCAATCATCTATTCTTAGTAATATCTTTGCATTTCCACTGGTTGGAGTTCTTCACTGAGTACACCGTTTAGCAAAGACCCAGATGCAGGCCACACTCTGCACACTCATGCCTATAATTAAAGCATGGGGTCTTCATTGGAACAAATGATTTTTCCTTCCCCAAAGAGTCAACACAGAGTTCTGTCTCATTAAATTGTTCATTTATCTTCTGTTTCAGTGGGCACTAGTGGTTTTTCATATTTAACTAGCAAAACATGCGAATAAGGAAGCAGTTTTGATACAGAGCACATCTGGCTTAACTATGCGAAACAAAACAAAACTTTGTCATCTGGTCCCCTATAGGGGTATGGGGGCTGCCTGTCACTTTAATACCTTAGTTACTGAGGTGTGTATAATGTCAGGGCTAAAAAGGACTTCCAGTGCCTCTCTGCCAACCCCCTCCCTGGCAGGCAAAGCAGGTGAAGACTGAGGTGCCAGCATGCGGTACCTCCCTCCCAGGCCGGGCCTGCCTTGTTGCAAAAGGCCCAGGCCTCAGGTTCCTGACTGCACCCGTTGTACAGGTGGAGGGAGATACAGGACCAAGACTGACGGGGGAAATACAATCCCTACCCCCAAACCGGACAGTACATTTCAACTTTAAAAGAAATTCGATGCAAGAATCAGGAGACTTCATGTCTCCCTGGCCCTCTAGCTGACACACTATTTTCCTTTGGGTAAGAAAGCTAATCTCTCTGTGTCTGTTTTCCAAACAAAAACTGCCTAAGCGTATTTTTCCCTAATTCAGTGGCCTCCACTCGGTGGAAGAAATAATAACTATGAAACCATGCTGAGCTCTTTGGATCAAAGGCACTAGATGAGGTATTATGGTAATAATTACTGTTATGGACAACCATAATTTGGACCACTATGGATTATAAATCTGTTATGTTCTTCTACTAACTTATCTTGATTACCATTATTATGACTGTAAATGTTTTGGATGTGTGGTCACTCTAAACATCTCCATTTGGCAAGACTACCACATATCCATTAATTTTAAAAAAAGCAATATCCACAGACTTCAGTAATTCTCTCCCTCTCGAATATTACTTTATAAATAAGAAGCTTTCATGGAATAAAATTAACAACAACCCCCTCCAATTAACTAAGACATTCAGCCTTAATACACTATCCGTAAGATGGAGAGCTGGAGCTTTAAGTACATAAGCCCACAAACCTGTACACAAATGTAGTTCAAAGACCAATGTAATTGAGTAAACCTTCAAAAATAAGGAGAGTGGTTTTAGAGCTTTAGAATAATTCTCTGGTTTTTGGCTAATCATTTATAGCACCTGGCTGACACTCGTGGCTATTGCTGACAAAAACCAGAGAGCTGAAATACGTTCCAGGGGTCGTCCCCTGCACTTCCCCTGGAATTACAGATGTGATGAGGCAAAAGTCATTTGCTTAGGGAGCACACGAGATGGCGGCCAGCTTTTACCTGAACATGACGGGCAGCACTGTCCCGGATGAATGGTGGGGTTGCCACAGGCAGGCACCGGGCAGGTGATCAGAGCACACATTTCCCGTCCACTGTGACAGTAGCATTCCCGGCACCCATCATGCCAGCTTTCCTCATTTTTATGATGATGACCATCCATGGACAGACATGTGCCTGACAGGACGGGTGGCCCGGCTGCAGCAGGGACCTCTGGACAGACAGAAGGCAGCCTGGTAAAGAAGGAGCTACTGCACAGGAGAAACAGCCTGTAGTTCCTTACAGGTAATGCTACCCAGCCACCAAAAATCCTGTCTACACAGCACAGCTTGTGACACAGGAAAGAATCATGAAAAGAATTTAAGTTAATATGCTCTCAATTTTGAAAAAAAGAAAAAAGGGAGTAAAAAACCCTGCAAATACATTTCTCTGCTATTGGTATTTTTTTTCCTCCCTTCACTCTACGTTCTCATATTCTACGCAGTAAACAAGCACTGACTGATTTCAGCGTGAACGTTACACATGTTTAATACATGCAGAATAATCACTCTAGAAATCATCATTCAGTGGGGCAATCCTGGGCCGCTAGTAACTAACAGGTTTTCGTTCTGCAGAACAATTGAAGCAGTGACTAGATTTTTGTTTACTCTGACCCCCTAAAAACACTCTTAAGGTGGTAACTGAACAACTCTGAAAAAACACAGAACAAACTTCAGGGGTCTTTTACTGCTTCATCTGTGGCTCATGTGGACAACTAAAACCAGCTGGGGTGGGCAGTGGCGCTGGAGCTGGGGTAAGGGCTCACACAGCTTCAGGAACATCCCTCGAGGGGGAAGTCCTGCAAAAGGTACTCCCAGGACTCACACCTATACACAACTATAGGCTAGCATGTGGTTATTCAGCAAAAGTCGACATTCTCAGGGAAAACTGTGTTACCAAGAAAATACACAAGCAGACTGTTTAGCTTCACCCACCCTCAAAGGGCTGTGAAAAGGGACCTTTGCTGTATGAATCGTCTCGATCCACTGCTGGACAGAGGGAGACTCTTATGGAGGTCAAGATAAAGATGCTTTAGGCTAACGTTCCTGAGACAAGTAAAACTGAAGAGCTAAGAAGTGATTAATTTGGTCAATGTGGGGCCCGTTCCTTTAAATTCTATTCTGAGCTCTTATTCCATTGAGATGAAAGGACAAGGGATGGTCCTCTAGAGAGTGACAGTGGTGTCAGAGTGCACAGCAATCACTGAAATTATTTCATTGACTTCCGTTCTTGGTTTCTGTGCCTCTGATTGCTCTGAGCGGGGAAGGGTTATGCGTTGGGACTTACCTCTGCACTTGCAGATAAGACAGCCACGACTGTCCTGCTGGAAACCCAAGGGGCAGATCTTACTGCACGGGAGCTCTGGGCATTTCTTACAGCGACAGATGTCACAGCCATGCTTATTCTTCCTGGGTAATTAAAATTTTGTCAGAGGTTAGAAAATCCAAAAGTCTCAAGTGATGCCCAAGTGCTTAGACCAAGGGTCACTGAAGTGATATTCTCAGTAAGCAGAATGACTTGAACTTCTGCTCTCAAAACCCCCTGGAGTGATGCGTAATTAGCTCCCTGTGGCCATGACCACCACCCACCCATGGCCAATGGTTAGAACTGTCCAAGCACTTAGGTGCTCTAGGACGTGACTGTCAGAATCCTGATGACGTGACTGTTGATTTAATTGGGAAAAGTGGTACCAACAGTACAAAAAGATGAATGTGCAGCTCCAGGAAGAGGAAGGTGAAGGATATATTGCTGGTCAATGTTGGAGGCCAGCATTAGGGCAGAAGTCCTTCTTCTGTCAGAACCACAGGCTTCCTCAGACGACACATTCTCTTGAGAAATTTCAGATGCTACTAAACATTTTACTGAGATATCTACAGAATTTTTTAGCAGATGGAAGAACTTAAGGATCCATAGACCTGGGAATGCTACGTAATGTTGTAGCATGTTGTACATGTAGATATCTTGTATATGTTGATGAACAAAATGTTTAAGAAGTCCTGCAGTCAATGTCCAGTAATTACCTCATTAGTCAGAAAAGAATACCAACTGAAAAATGCTCCACCTGTGGGGCATGACTGAAGCACGGAGGATAAAGGGAAATGGCTGGATGAACTTTTTTTTTTCCCTTTAATAAGCTACAGTGCCTAAATTTTGTGTTGAGCAGAAAGATGATATTAAATAAATGTTTATTAAAAGATCACCATAGTTTAAGTCGACAAAAAAATTCTTAGCAACAATTCCTTATTTTCTCTAAAAGGAGAATGACCCTGTGTATCACAAAAGGTGCTAACCTGCCCTCCTGTGTCTTCTGTCCACTACCTGCAGCTCCTCTCTTAGGCTCAACATCTCCTCTACAAGCTTTGCCCTAGTTGGGCTTCCTGGGCAGCAGAGAAGACGGAGTTAAGTCTATTAATCCTTAGGTTTCATCCCAAGGAGCCCTAAGTGGCAACAGTGGTGTTCAACTAAAAAAATAAACCCTGTTCTTTCTCATCTTGGACAAATTAAGGGGCTCTAAAAGAAGATGGCCCCCGGGGCTTCCCTGGTGGCGCAGTGGTTGGGAGTCTGCCTGCCGATGCAGGGGACATGGGTTCGTGCCCTGGTCCGGGAGGATCCCACAGGCCGCGGGGCGGCTGGGCCCGTGAGCCATGGCCGCTGAGCCTGCACGTCCGGAGCCTGTGCTCCGCAACGGGAGAGGCCACAACAGTGAGAGGCCTGCATACCACACACACACACACACAAAAAAAGATGGCCCCATGGGAAATCCTTGGTATATAACTGTCCAAGTGATAAACTACAATCTGCTAAGTGAAATGAGAACTGAACCCTAGGGCCTACGTATTTATATCAATATAATGAAAACAGTGAATGAAACGAATGCTTCACACTCCTGTCATAGACTGTGCCATTTCCAAGCCCTAACAGGGCTTTAACAGATTTGTTTGTTAACTCATTTATTCACCTACCCGTTCCTTCTTCCTTCTCCCATTCCCTTCTCTATATTTCTCCCTCAGAGGCTGTCCTTGAAACATGTGCTAGCCAATGCAGTATTCGTTTGCCTACAAGAGTCAACTTGGTCCTTCTTGAATGTGTTTACTGACAGGAATACCAACTGGAATCTATAATCCTCTAAGAGTTTTCTCTCCAAGGTGAAGTTTGGATGAATGCAGGCTTGGTTCTGAACTATCATAACACTGCAGCCAAGTGGTTGTAGGTACTATTATGATAATAATACTTTATTCTACATCAGCAGGTAAGCTAAGAAATAGCTTTACTTTTATTAATATCATATTCATATTTTAGGATTAAGAACAATGATGATTTATTAGTTTACTTGGGGAATTTTAAAGAATAATGTTCCCAAGCTAATTATCCAATTAAAATTAGAATTAAGGTTCCCCTCTCCCTGCTAAACTAGAATTTCTAAGAGGAAGAATAAAAACAATGCCTTTAAGACGCTGGGCAAGAGGTGATGGCTCTAAATCCCTTATAATTACTAGCACTATATAAACATATCAAATGGAAAAGGCAGAGAGACTAAACTGGAAGGAATCAAGGCAGGAATGACAAAGCAAAATTCTGAAAGGTTATCTTTAAGGAACCAACTTGATATAAAGACAGAAGTGGATTCTAAGACAGACACAAAAGTAACAAATGTGAAATGTCTATTTTCCCCCTAGAATAATCTGAATTTTCATGGGATTTGATTCAATAAAGAATATTTAAAAATACAAGTCATAGTTCTTATCACCAAGGAAATTCATAAGATGTACTGCTATTTTAAAGAGTAGTATAAACGTAGACAAGCATCAAGGTAGGACAGGGAGGCATGGCAGGTAAGGATGCTCCATATTGCAAATCAGTAGCTGTCAATTCATCTTAAAATATAGATTAAATACGTTATCACAAAACAGTTGCTGCGACAGTGGTGCATAGTTGAAGCGCTTACAACACTGGAACCTCATGACAGTTCCATTCCCTTTGGCAGTGTCCAAAGGCCCTTGCTATGAGGAAATCTCACCTAACAGGCCCAAAGTGTCATAACAAGGCTCTAGCCCATCTTCAAAAAAGAGTGAAACTTGATTCTTATCTTTGGAGATACGGCCTTTCCTTGCTTTCTGATTCCTCTAGCAAAACAAGCATAGATATTCTGGATTCAGTACATTGCTGATTCATTCAGAAACACACACAAAACAGCCAACAAAAAAGGCAAGAGACATTTCGTCAAGTTACAGATAATTAAGAATACATCTTCTGAGTTAAGAAATACGTACAGATATCCAAATGGACAATACTTTTCACAGATTATCAGTCTGCACTTCTTGGGGCGTGGGCGGCACTGACAGATCTCACAGTTGTGGGCATCGGTTAGGAAGCCGAAGGGGCAGTCCAAGGTGCAGCCTCGTTTGAGGCCCGTGCAAAGTTCCTCCCCTGTGAAGACACATGGACAGCACATTTCTTCCAAAGATGAAAGGAACAGAACATCTGACACTTCAGTGCCTTCCCCTAATCTTCCAATCTTCCACCGATGTAAATTTCTCAGCTCTACCACGGCATCAGCAATGGTTAAAAATTATAGATTGTGCTATTTCATGGTTATCAGAACGTAACTTCATGTTTTGGTACTAATATACACAATAAAGTCCAACTCTGAAAAACAGATTTCTGATCAAACCACTGATTACCACTTATTATTCAAAATGTGAGAAGTGGAAACTTACATCCCAAATTTCATTATGTATTTTTGCTCCTGCTGCATGCCCATGAGAAACACATTCTTAAAGGTTCACACACGTTTACCCTTATGAGTTTTAGATGTTACCATATAATACTGCGTACCATATTCAGCATAAAGCATTGCTTACCCTTTCTTTAAAAGGTATATCTCTAATAACATAATACAAAGTGAAATAATCAGTGTTCCAATTAGATATTTTTTTCCCTACCGCTGACAAATATCCAGGTATTTAGATACACTTAGTTAACTGACAAAAAAAAAAAAAAATGTATGTGCCAAAGAAATACCTAGATTTATGTTTAACTATCCATTATTTAAAATGTTCAAACTCTCCCCTGTTAGCAGAATCTGGAGTGATGTTTAACTGTCCTCTGTTAGTCAGTTATAACTTATTATTGTAGAAGGGAAAAAAAGGAACAAAGAAATGGTGGCTGGCACAAGAAACTTCTATTAGCTTAATGGAAGCCTTGTAAATAAATTTTAAAAGGTGTGATGTAGGGCTTACTAGAGTAATATAGGCAACAAAAATGTTAAGGTAAATAAGAAAAGCATGCTTGGTGATGTAACTAAAGCAAATTGAGACGTCTGAATTAAATGTAGAATTTGAAAGATAATCAAATTTAAAGAAGTAGACATGATGATGGCAAAAGTATGGCAATGTTTGATTATAGTTCTGCGTGGACTGGTAAAGTGAGAAGCTGAGACTACTTTTGTTGAAACAATAAATAAATTTTATGTGTATATCCTTTAAGCATAAATATTGTAAATAATGCACAAGTTACTGGGAAAAACAGAACACATTTGTCCCCTCCACACACAAATCTTATAACCTAAAATTAAACCTTAACTACAATTGATAGGTGAAATGGGTTCATATTTTACATAAATATGTTAAGATAGCATCTTTTGTGAATCTTAGCTGGCAATACTTGCATATTTAATTTGCTATCTTTTAAAAAGGATAATGTGATTTAAAGTACAATTTTCTACTTTGTCATCGCCATAAACCTTTCATTACACATGTTTAATATAACCTCGTGGGTCTGTATCATATTGTGAAGCAACTGAACACTAATTTGCATCCTTGAAAGTGAAATTCTAAGTGGCTCATTTAAAATTTTGTAATTATATGACTTGAAAGGTCATCATTTTTCATCTCTTTCCCATTATTAAGGGAATGACGAAGGAGGGAGAAGACTGTCATAGCCACATTTCTTTCTCTGACACCAAGATCTAAGTTGTGAATCCATTTTTCTATTGCAAAAATTTTAAGTCTTGAAACCAAGTAGATTATGTTGAGAAACAGATGAACTAACGACACTGTGAGCACATCCCTGGGGATTAAATTCCTTGAAACTCTGAGTCTGAGCACCTTTGTGCCTTTATTTCTCTGGTCCTGTAAAAAAGGAGTTTTTCTATAATTTTTAATCTAGAATGGGCTTCATCCTTAACGAAAGCTGTTGCATCACTAAGTTTAAAAAATTTGATATAAACTAAGTTTGTCTTTACCTCTGCTTTGCAGTGGAAGGGAATTTCAAGCAAAGGCTGCTATGTGTGAACAAAAATACAGGACGTTCATAGACTTCGGACTGGCTGTGACATATTGGGCAGGTTGCCACAATGTTGCCCTGGCTTGGGACTGCTCACTGCCCTGCTATCTCGTTTCTCCTCCCCAGCAGAAGGGAGCTCTAGGGCAGGGACCTATTTTCTTTATTTACACAGTCCAGGTGCTATCATGGTGCTCAGCATGGAGTGAGTGCTCAATAAATACTTGCTGAATGAATGAACCAATCAAGATTCTTGCTATTTACTCCTCTACCCTCATCAAGACTGCCATATTAACAGAAAAATAATGGGATGAAAAAACTTACTGTTAGTACTGAAAAATTTCACAATACTGGCACTTGCTAAACATCTCCAAATACCACCTTCTAGCTTAGAAATAGAGAACATTAAAGATTTCAAGGTATTCCTAGATCCATGTATCAATTATGGATTTTTCTTCAGAGAAGTATAACGTCAAGGCAAACATTTACATAAAGAGCAGAACAGATAGATTAGAAACATCTTATTCATAGATGGGTGGGAGTTTTTAAGTTTGTTTGAAAAGTTTTAGTACATCACTGGAGGCAACCACAGAAAGAATGGTGGCTTTATGTTCATAATTTTTCAACATTATGACTTTGTTGTGATCTAAGAATGCTTTCTAATCCAGAGGGGAAAATTACCATTGAAGAGAAAGTGATGAATAATGGCAAAATACAGAGCCTGTGCATTATGGCTGGTCAATAGCAGCTATGCAGTAAACTCTCTGTTTATTCGGGAGAAAAAAAAGATGTTTTTGCGCCCAGGGCCAAAATGTGGCCCAACTGTGGGGAGCATCGTTTGTACTTCGCTGTAGTTGAACACCATGGAGCCTGCAAACAGAACACAGTGTAATGGTGCCCCTAGAGTTGTGTTGTGCTTCTCTGCTGCAGGACTTCACACTCTTGGGTTCTGGCAATTCTCAGCAACATGCAAGCAGTTAAGGATACCATGAATAAAGTTCCTGAGACTGTTAAATAAAGAAGTGCAAGACTGCAAATGGTGGTCCCAATCTTGACCTTGATAAGTGTTTGTTCAGAGTAACAATGAAATGAAAACAGGAGTCTGCCTCCTTGTATATGATGCTGCGACCTTCTTTAGATGCTTGATTCAGATATATGTTTCATGAAAATTATGAAAGGTTTTTTTCTCCCTGCTACCATTAATTTTCTATGTCTGCACTGGTTTCTAGTTAAAAGCACTATTAATCCCTAGAATTACAGATTGTTAAAACTGGAAGAGCAGTTACAAATAATCTGATGAAATCCACTTGATTTAAAAATGTAGATAAGATGCTAAAAAAGATGGATGCCATTTAATTCACATAGATGTCATTTACTACATATCGTACCTATAATAAGCTGAAATGTATTATGTATGTTTGACAGCAAACATTTTGGTTAAAAAGGAATGCTACTAACAGCTTGTAACAATGAAGTGTTAGATTTTTAGTAGCTTATCTAAATGATTTTAGTTTTAACTTTTGTTGCTATCATGCATTCTTAAGCATTTTCTACCATGTTTTTTTTCTTTATTCTAAGTATGTCTTTGAATAAAGTTTAAATTCTCTATATGCCCTTGATGCATTACTTTGCTTAGCAGTGTTATAAGAAATGTTACTTGTTACAGGTTAAAAAAGAAAAGCTACAGTATGTTCAAATAAAAGAATCCTGTCATATACCTTCCATGTTCTTTTGAAGGACGTGTTTCTACTGGGTTTTGATTTCAACCTTCAAGTGACTGTCTATAATATGCTTGATTATATTGCAATAGCATTACAACATATTAGCATATTACCAATATTACCAACACATTACCAAGATTAGTCAGGGATAAGGTCCATTTTTAACTTCTTTGTACCCCTAGTTTTTGGTGCATAGTAGGCACTCAATAAATGCTAGATGAATGAAAGAAGGAATGAATGAGCAGACAACAGGCCAGTAACAGGGGAGAAATATTTATTTGGCATTGGTCTTATTTTAAGAAAGAAATATTGATGCCAGTGGTCCATATATACGTCTAACCCCTAACGGAAAACTTGGGTATAAATGGTTAGGGCCACTGCATGTGAAACAGGCTTTGGTGGGATGCAGAAAAATAACATAAAGGAGAGATTTAGACAAAATCCATACTTATCACGTAGCTGCAATGGGAAAAAGAATATACTTAGCTATCCTTCAGTACCAGGGACTTCCTTTTTTCTAAAGCTAGGCGAAAGAGAGTGAGAATATTTGAGGGTTAAAATTAAAAGGCAAAAGGAAAGTTGTTTGTGTGCGTGTCCTCAGAGGACAGGAAGAACTGGAGGCAGCTTGGTGTCGGAACAAAGGAGGGAAACTGGGGGCTTTCCACGTCAGCTAGCTCTAGCTGACTCAGAAATGCATGTTATAAAACAGCTATCGTGTCAACAATTACCATATGTCGGGTAGTAAAGTTAGCTTTGCATTCACTAATTAGTCCTCAAAACAACCCATTACTTTGGTATTATTACCTGCCCTTTACAGATGAGGACACAGAGGCTCTAGGAAATAAAGCAACTTGCCCTGATCACCCAGATACAAGTCAGTATGATGCCAGAGTCTGGGAGGAGAGATGGGTACATACAGTCACAAGAATCTGACAACCGAGGATGTGGCAGTTTGATTTAACTTGACTCACCGTCCAAAGGTGTCAAATAATCAGGACTGCTAATGGGAGGGGATGAGAGCAGAATGCTCTATGGCTCTGTCATATACTTTCCGTGTACTTTTGTGTATGATATAGACAAAATGACAAATTCCAGCTGACATAAAATGCAATGGTCTCCTGTACATATTTCCTCCTATGTGTTAATGAAATGGAGGTGCAAAGCAGGCAGTATGCACGGATGTTCCTTTTACAAAGCCAGAAAGCAACACTAACACAAAGACAGGCAGAGCAGAATTTTCCTGATAAGTCTCAATTTGCAAAAAGCCAGTCATATGCTTCTGACTTACTTCAATGACAACTGAGGGAAATTGCTTCTCTGGATTTAACTTCAAAGGGCTCACTGTGAATCAGCAGGGGTCTTATGGAGGTGTGCCCATGTGGCCAAAAGTTCATAATAACAAAGCCCAGGTGAAGATGGTAGGCAGGGTGATTAGGTACAATGAAATCTATATTTTTAGACTTCAAAAAGTTCAGGAAAAAAAAATTAGGTATGCTCCCATGATCAGAAAGGATGTACAGCTCAAGAGATATGAGAAGGATTAAAATATAAACTCTTTGTGATACAATCACCAATTATCTTGGTGTCAAAAAATCAAAGTTGACCATTTAAGCCAACAAATATGGCTGCCAAAGCAGCTCCCTAGTAAACTTGGCTTTCCAAAGGGAGGTATAGAAGGCAGATAGGTGTATAACAGGGACTGGTCCTCCTCTGAACAGAAACAAGTGTAGGAAGGCAGACAGTCCCCGATGGGTAGAGGGTCATGGGAAATTTAAAGGTGTAAACAACCATCATTACAACAACAGTTTGATAACCTCCGTTTCAGCACCAAGTCCATCCCACAGGCAGTGTGATGGTAACAAGTAACTGAGAAAACCGAATTATGCAACTCCTACTTAGTATCTGTCTTCACCGAAAATATTCTTACAAAAGAAAGCATTGAATGATTAAGGTGAAGAGGAATACAGAGCCCAAGAAAACTGATAAATCAGAAAGTGATCATCTCTCTACATTAAGTAATTCTAACTCTCTGAGTCCAGGGTAATTATACCCAGAGGCTCATGGAGAACCTGCTGATTATAGAAGCATTGTCCATATTTGGAGACATCAGAGGGAATGGAAAGAGATTTCAGAAAACTAAAAGAGGCCAAATGTCATTTCAAAAGGGACAAAGGATTCTAGCACTACAGGAACTAAGCTTGACATTCACAACTGAAAATTCTGCAGAAGGAATGGTTAAACATGGGATATGCGACATTTAGGAAAGAAAGCAATGAATACCAGGAGCCAGTATAGGTTCATGAAAAACAACCCATACCCTACTAACTGCGTTTTATGTTTAAAGTAGGGTTTCCAGCAAAGGAATGTTGCAAATAGAATGTATTTTGATTTCAGATAAGATACAGATCAAGAGTTTCAAGATTTCCTTGTGGAGATGGAGCTGATATGTCGTCAGCTGAATAACTCCATAGAAGAAGTGAGGATTACGTTCAAAGTCATTTTGCAGGAAGGCCTTCAGTGCTAACAGGGCTCTCTCCTTGGTTCTATACAACTTAATTTATTTTAGTGCAATGATTTAGATGAGGACATGTAAGTTATGCTTATTTGATATAAGCTGGGAGGCATAGATAAAGTATGAGGTCACATCATCAAGATTCAAAAATATCCCAACTAGTTGGTAAACGGTTGAAAACTCTCAGGGTAATTTCTGGTTAAATTTGGCCCTGCATTTATATCATTAAAAAAAAAAAAAATCAAACGCTCAAATACAGAACAAATGAGAATCACCTATGTGCAGCTGATGTAAAAAGTACCAACTGGTTCTAGTTGCTTATAACCTCAGTGTTAGCCAACAGTGTATAATCCAAAGAGCAAATGCTCACTTAGACCACACAACAGCACTGCAGTGATCAGACCAAATTCTGCAATACTCTGTTTGTTTCTAGGCCACACATTTACATAAGGACCAAGAAAGTTCTAGAAACTATGTCACCTGGGGAATGACTAAAGATGTTTATTCTGGTAGAAGAATTAGAGGAATTCAAAATCGTTTTAAACATGAAGGGCAATTTTTTTTTCCAGTAAGAAATGCAATATACTCTATCACATTTCAGAGATCATGGCCTGGCGACATGACTGGAATCTACGTGGAAGAGAGCTGGGATCGAGAAAGCGGAGCACATTCTAAAGACTATGGCTGCCACACATGGAATGTGACACCTCTGTGTGAGTGACCTCCTTGTCACTGATGACCCCGGCAAGGGCAGTACTGAGAGCTCCCTGGGTGTTTGGAAACATGTGCTCCAGAGTTCCCAGGGCTTCACCCATGATGCAGCCAGGCATCAAGGAGTATCTGAACATAATGAAATGAGGGCAAAAACCGGCATAAAGGAGCAGCTCTTTTTCTCCAAACGACCATGTGTTTATGTTAAATACACTTTTTTTTTCCTTCTTTCAGGTTGCTAAGGGAATGTCATGAATAGGAATGAAAGAAAAGATATTCAATCACACAATATGCTTTGACAATATTAGGCTCTGAAAAAACAGAGTCTTCCGTGTACTCACTGTTTTTGCACTGACAAGTTCGACAACCATTGTGATCAAGTTTGAAACCATAAATGCAGTCCTTCTCTGTCAGGGTGCAGTTTGATGACTCTCCACACGCAGGTGGATCAATTGTGATGTAGGTTGGTTCTAATAATAAAGAGAGAAAAAAAAATCAATGAAACATATGATTACCTCTTAGATGCTATTCAATCTTTGAAATCCCACACTATGGTAAGTCACAGGAAAAAACCTAATCAGTAATCTTCATCAAATCCTAGACTTTTATACTTTCATAATGTTGTTAACCCCTGAAAAAGAAATATTTTTATTTAAATTTTTGAAAATCCGGATGCTCTATTTCTTTACATTTGAGCAATTTATGCATTTTTGGGTACCCTCACCACTATAGAAGCAGACAAGAAAGGTTAAAATGAATTTAAATCGTTATTCTTCTATTTCCTCCTGATGTTTTCTGAGTTTACTTTTTATAACAATCAGGAAACAGCTTCCAGCTGTCAATTATCTCACTCTCCATTTTGCAATACTTCTGAAATCTATTAGCGACTTTTCAAGTTAATAAATCAGAGATGTTTCTGAGACTTTAAAACATCTGAATTTCTTTGACCTTTTATGTGACACTCTCATTTATTACAGATGACATGACAGATCACATCATCTATAGGAGTTTATACTCAGGGCTTTAGGGAGTGGGGGAGAGAGGCACAAGCATTCAGGAGGAAGAGAGAGCAGCCACCCTGAGATGAGATGCACAGAAGAAACCAAGGCCAGAGGTGATTTTGACCTTCACTGCCATGTTAATAATGAAGAATTGTTCTGGCCTAAAGATTACTGTTACTAAACAGTAATCACACACTTACGTAAAGTGTATTACGCGTCTATATAACATCTGAAGTGCTCTTCATAAATGCCTTCAAGTTTTGGATCACAATCGGAAAGAGATGGGTGCTGTCATTATCCCTATTTTACGGATGAGGAAATCCAGCATACTGACTTGTCCAAGGTCACAGGGTTAGGAAGTGGTGGACCCCAGATTCAAACCAGGTGTTCTGGCTCTAGGGTCACGCTCTCAGCTTCTGTGCAATACAAAGCGCATTGTAATGGTACCTGTTTTGCAGTGATTGATAAGGGACAGTTTATACAATGTCAGACTGTGGAGAGAGTGTTGTCAAAGGCAACAAGGACACTGATGTATTTACGTAGCCTCTTTTCAACCCAAAGATACTATGAACTTCTTCAGAGTAAGCTGGTTCTCACAATATCTTTGTGAAGTGCTAAGTACAGAATGTCTCTACCCATGTTTTCACAAATGGAAAACATGAGGTGCAGAGAGGGTAAGTGGCTTATCTAAGTTTACATAGCAACCCAGTAGCAGGCTGGGAACAGAACAGAACAGAGGTGCCTGACCTCCTGTCCAACATTCTATCCATAGTCCACACTGTCTTCTCAAGTTTCACCTCCCATTACCATGGAAGAGAGACCAAAAATAAGTGTTTTAGGTGCCACTGATAAGATCAAGAGTTCTACATTTTTATCCACCTGCTAAAAGAGGCCAGTGATTCAACTCTTCACAGGTAGTGAGCAACTAGGACTTATTAAAGAGATGCTTTCATCAGCATTCTCCCAGTGAAAGTATGTATGAAGACGGTGTAGCACGTTCCCTATTTTTATTACAGCACAGTTGGCAGAACATCTCCCTGAAATTTTAATCTAAGATTTCCACTGCTGTGAAATTTCTAATTTCCTTCAACGACTAAAGTATCCTTTCTGACAGGTAACTGTAAACATCAAAAAGTGGTTTCGTTTTAGTCAAGTTTTAAGACTTAGTGAATTAAATATAGTAGTGCTGCTTTCCTCCATTCTCTTAAAATTTACTGTAAATATCAGTGGTTTTTAAACCTACAGTCTTTCCTTTATCACTACTCTTGTTACACATCCAAGATAAGAATTCTGTTTCAGCCTTTAGCCATAAGACTGTGGAGGTTTCATCAAAATTATTCTAACCACAAATATAAGATAGAGCAGGGGACCTGGCTCGTGTCTCAGTAAACCGTACCACAGATGATCCCATCGAAGGAGGAGTTAGGTCTACATTCCAGAGAGTTAATAGCAAGGATCAGGGAAGGATTCTAAACTCTTTGTCCAGTGCTTTAGTGCATGGCTTACGGGCAAGGAAATGTCTTGGGCACATCTACGCAGACCCAAAGCTTGTATTCTTTACTGACATTTAAGTTTATGAGAAACTTTTGCCTTCAGAAAGTATATGATGGAAAAATATGTATCTCGGCAGATGACACTGACACTGAAAATGCATAATAATCACAGGGCAGTATGGGATTTTATTTTCAGTGAATTTTAGGGATTTGTTAAGATAATCAATGGTGATGTGCATGCTATTTTTGGTACATATTATGATTAATGGATGGGATTAGGATTGTGCTCTGTGGCTAGAAAGTAAAAAAAAAAAAAAAAATTGGGTTGTTTGAGGATCAGAACCACAATACTGACAGTCCCACCCTTTATCCAAATGACTGTATCCGCTAGGTAGCCAGCTCCAGGGGTACGTCAAGCACACATTTCTTTAGCAGAAGAAATATGTTCAACATGTTTCCCTGTAACATTCAGGATAACAGCTTGAGCTAAGTTTAACAAATGGGAAAAAAAATGCATAGAAGGGCTATTTAAGTAGGTAGGTGCTGGTTCTACAACGCTGTGTTGTAAATATTTTAGGTAAAACAAGTCTTCCTGGATGTCTTCCAGGCCTCAGATGACGTGGCAGAATGCAAAGAAGCCAAACATTATTCTGTGCCTCTAAAATTAATATTTCCCCATTCATCGATGATGTACATTAGAGGGAAGAAACCGGAAAGTCTGTAAGTTTCAAAATCTGACTCCCTCGATACTTATTAAAATAAAACAGAAAAACTCAACAAAACCAATTTACTCTAAAGCTATTCAACTGCCCCTCAATAGATTAGGCTGGACACAACACTCATCGTGATACATTAAATGTGGACAGAAGTCTAAATTATTTTTAAAAAGCATTTTAACACTAGTCATCTCACTTTATTATGTTAAATAAGTATTCTTTTCCTTTTCAAATACAAAGTGGAACAAATTTTAAAAACTTTTTTTTTTTTTTTTTTGCGGTACGCGGGCCTCTCACTGTTGTGACCTCTCCCATTGCGGAGCACAGGCTCCGGACGCACAAGCTCAGCGGCCATGGCTCATGGGCCCAGCCGCTCCGCGGCATGTGGGACCTTCCTGGACCGGGGCACGAACCCATGTCCCCTGCATTGGCAGGCAAACTCTCAACCACTGCGCTACCAGGGAAGGCCCAAAACTTTTTAAGGATGGTGGAGCATGTGTTTGGGGTACTTACTGCTGTTATCCTCTGTCACTGGAGTAACTGCTGATTTGTAACAGACACACATGCAGGCAACTAGCTGTCTCCTAACATTTTATCTAAAGTCATACATTATGTACTATTCCCTTTCATCATTCTCTCAACATTTTAGTGCTCAGTTTCCTACCATGTGAGGCCATCTCTATTTTAGAATTCTGTAAACTATAAATTGTTTAGCAAAAACACTGACATTATCATAAACGGATCTGAGAGTCTGCTTTCAGTCCAGTATATTAATATGTAATCTCAGAACTGGTCCTGTTACTAACATCAGGGCAGTCTTTTGAGAATGAAGTGCTGTGAGTCTACTGAAATTCAATTTCTTATTCTACATAATGAACACCAAAGTGAGACACACTTGATACCATCCTGAATGAGAGTATTTCAAATCAACATTGCATTTACAGTCCTTAGAGAATAACCAAGAGCTGGTTAGACTTTTTGCAGTTTCTATACAAGGAAGTTCTTGGTGGGGGAAGAGGTAAGTTTGAAGAGTCCAGAATCATGGCATCACAGTATGATTGTTTCTAATCCAAATAAGTAAAGGAGCTTGAGGAAGTGTTAGTGAAATCTGTGAAACGTGCACTGTGCTTGTTAGAGCAGCCTGAAATCTGCGTATTGGGAATTGTTATTATCCCACACATTCTTTAGTTTATGCCACAGTGCTCTGAATATGGAATATATCCTGATGGGTCTTGGCCTGAAGACCAGATGATCCTCATTTAAATCCCGCTTTTCTGTGCTCTTAGATTACACGGGGGTACAATACTGACATGACATGCTAGAGAGTACATGCTCCTCTAGAAGGATGACAGCGATGCCATGTCCTTGGAGAGTTTGGTGATTATCAGTTGAACAGAGGTCCCGCTAAGACTTTTGGAGACAAATGCATCTGCCTGTTGCTGGAAGCAAAGAAAATGGTCTCCTTTTAAATTGGTTGGGCAGATATGCGTTAGTGGGCCTCTTTCAGAAGAGAGAAATGGTCTTGGATCTCCTTGTTCAGGAGAATGAGAAAATGCTTGCACAAAGATGGATTTGGCGAGGGGAAATTCAATGAAGTACTGCTTACAGGATCACCCTGAAATTCCGTCTCATCTTGTATTGAATCAGCTGAGGAATTAAAGAAATACCTTAATGTCCTCCAAAGGAAGAAGGCTTGAAACAGCAGGAATTCATTGTCTTTGGCTACAACTATTTCTAAAGGGAACCCTGGAACCGCTTCTTTGTGGAGAAGAATTCTAGAAATATTTTCTGAGCCTAGAAGCAATAAAGAACAAAAATGGGTGTTTGTTATGTCTATATCCATTTGCTGTTTCCTACCCTGCATCTGGGTGGGAATCTCTACTTTCCTCCACCTGTCCTTTTCCTGAATGATTTTTGAAGACTTTCCAAGTACCTTATACTGTCCGGAAGAGCTATTTTTACAAGAACCCTTGGGATTGTGTCAGGAATGCAGATGTTCAGCACCAATTCTTATCCCAAGTCTTAGAAAACAAAATTCTGGAAAAAAACGATTATAACTTGCAGTAACATAAGCAAACACATATTGGCTCTTTATTTTATGTTTAATTAAAATCAGGGATGGATATTTCTTTCACATCCTAGGAGGCCCAACAAACCCCTTATCAGTAAAAACATTTCCAGGAAAACATTCACGTTTTTCAAGATTTAGAGAACCTCAGACACTAAGTTTCTGAAGAACACCACCAATATTCTACACTGA